GTCTGGCAGAATATATTCCGGCTGGAAGCAGCAGCTCTCTGGACCGTGGATCCTCATCAGACCTGTGGGCTGGAGCTATGCAAGAAGCCCACTTGGGTGGGGAGGAGGGGAAACCCTTGCCCATCCTTGCCACCACCGCCCCCTGCAGCTGTCACAGTGCCGCTTCTGGCTGGTGTGGAAGTGGCTGCAGGGGCCAGCTGGCCACTCCTGCCCTTCCACTTCTGGCTGCTGCTGCCGCTGCTTTTCTGGAGCGCCTGAGCCAGCCAGGCACTTCGGACTGCAGATGAGTCATGGGCTGGAGAGCTGGGACCACGCAAGAAGCCCACTCGGGTGGGGAGGGAGGGAAACCCCATCCACAGCTCTGCTAAGAATCGATGGCTGAGAGCCCCTCTCCACATCTTTCGGCACGCATGGCCGTTGCTCTTCCTGTTGCTGTTTTTTGCGGGTGCGTGCGCGCCAGGAACCAGATCTCCAAATGGCCGACACACATGTGCAGCCCTGGAAACAAAAAGATCATTTTCCTAGCGTGCGCATGCCCACCGGGTGGCTGATCTTTTGCCTTCTGGCACACCAATGCACGTGAAGATCAGCTGGCTGCTGCACCCAAACCCAGAAGAGCAACTGGTGATGGCTCCACGTGCCAGGAGAAATGGCTCTGTGTGCCACTTCTGGCACGTTTGCCATAGGTTTGCCCTCATGGTTATAGTAGAACTGTTATAGAAAACCAGCTGCAAAAGATAACCAGAATTGTATTATCTAGTGACCTTTTCACAAGGACATTTACATATTTGTGCAGGCCCCATTATTTCTGAAGAAGGGGGTAAATATCTTGCTTTCTGATGTATGGTGGCTAGAGTTAGGGCCAGGTCTCACTTTCTATACTTACAGTGCAGTCATTCTTCCCTTTTCTGGAATAGATTCAACCCTGTGTGTTTCTTTTCCCCACCTGGCTCAGTTTCCTCCCTTTGTCTTTTTGGAAATGTTTTTATTTTCATATCAGGAAGCAGGTTTCATTTCTCATGTAACCTGCTAAGCAACATAATTCCAATGACGTCATCTTATTAAGACCTTTCAGTTGATTAGCTGTACCTATGATTCTGAGAATAAATTTGATTTCAGATGTTTTTTTAAAAGAGGTGGGGGGTTTGCTTTCTTTGCTATGATAGGAAAGCTGAAACTGAATCCTTCTTACCTCAGAGATATTCATAATTTGCTAGTAATTTTGAAGTAAGCCGTTTCTCTCAATCTTCCTTTCTTCTCCTTTTCCCCTTTTCAGCTCCCCCCTCCCCTTCTTTTTAACTTTAATTGGCAATCTCTTCCTGGAAGAACTTGAATGTATTTTGTAAAGTAACACATATCCCTATAAAACAGCAAACATTTATTGTGTTGCATGATTGACACCTGCTACAGACTTGAAGTCTACTTTAGCCAGTTCAATTTTCATTAATTGGATTATTGGAGCTATTCTCATTCCAGTTAGGCTCTTTAAATTCCTTTGACTAGAATTGTTAATTACATGAGAATTCTTCAAAATGTAGGTGCACCAGAGATCTGTGGATGCTTTCACAATTTGTCAATCCATTTGCAAGGAGGGAACTAAGAGTAGATGCCTTAATTGTTTAAGTTTCAAAGATTGTCATTTAGTATGCCACATGATTTTGAAGGAAGCAGATGGTAAAAGTCTTAGTGTTGGTTTAACAAAATGTAGGAAAGAAAAGATTACTGTACTATTTTAAACTAAGGTGAAAATTTGCAAAATCGTGATTTAGCTAAGGAATAGCGCAGATGTGACGATTTCTTAGGGCCATGATGATGAATCTATGGCACGCGTAGGGCCATTTTTTGCCCTCTCTGGCCTTCAGAGGCTTTCCTGAAGCCATTTCCAGCTTCTGGAGGGCCTCTGGGAGGCTGGGGGAGGCCGTTTCTGCTTCAGGAGATGGTGGTTGTGAGCCTTGGGGCTCCTGGGCAGCCAATGTGCACAGGGCGCTGGGCTGGCTCCAGTTGCAAAATTGTCAGAAAATTCCCCATTTTGCAAGGCGGCTCCCGAAGAGAATGAAGCGGGCGCGGGCGCTTCTTCCAAAAGCTGAGGATCTGCCTCCTCTTCCTTCGTCG